GAGGAGGAGGAGACGGGGCTGCCCCCTCCTCTGGCCCGCAGGAGCGAAGACCAGCCGCCTCCGGCGCTCCTGCCTGCCGTGAAAGACGGGCCCCTGAAGGAGGAAGAGGAAGAGGAGGAGGAGGAGGGAGCCGGGCTCCTGATGGAGGTGGAGGAGGAAGCCTTCCAGCCCCCCGAGGAGGAGGAGCGGCAGGAGGAGGAGGAGGAGGAGGAAGAGCGGACGGCGGGGCCTCTGCTGCTGCTGAAGGCGGAGGAGGAGGACCCGGCCTTGCCTCTGCTCCCCGGGGCCCAGCCTCTCCCCCTGCCGGAGGGGCCCAGCCTGCCGGGGGCCCCCACGGAACAGGAGGGACCCCCAAAGGAGGCGGCCCCTGCGGGCTCTCGGCCGCCGGACCAAGCCGGTTCCAGCGGGGACCTGGCGCAGGGCGGGCCGGACTCTGCCGCCGGGCAGGGGGAGCCGGAGAAAGCGCCACCAACGGAGCCGACGGAGGAAGAGGTGGTGGAAGTGAAGGAGGAAGCGGTGAGGCCCAGGCTCTGCTGGCGGGGCGGGGGCTCTGGGTTCGAGAGCAAAGGGGAACCCCCCTCTCCCCCACGTCCTTTCGGGCCATCGGCTGGCCTGCAGCCCCCCCATAGTTCCTCTCGGACAAAACGGCCCTTGGCTGGCTTACTCGAGCCCGCGGAGTTTGGCTCTTCCGGGCCTGGGTGGTCTCACACACACACCCCACCCCGCTTGGGCACGGGGTCTTCTGCCGATTTGCAACTTGCCGTGGGAAACCAGTTTGTGGCCAGAGCCTCCGTCGGTCCGTCGGTCAGTCAGTCTCCCCGGCTGACCCCTTGGGAGCAGCCCCGTCGCTGGGCCCTTATTGGGGAGGGGACGGGGGGGGGGGAGCTGCGGCTTCTGGTCAGTCTTGACCGCTCCCTGAAGAAGAACCCCCTTGAAGACCCCCCCCCGACTGGCCGCTCCTGGTCCAAACCCCGGCAAGGGGTGGGTCCAGCTGACGGTGCGCCTCTTTCCTCCCTCCTCAGGCCGGACCCCTGGATGAGACGGAGGCCATGTTGGCGGACTTCGTGGACTGCCCCCCGGACGAGAAGGAGCCCTCCCAGCCCTGCTCCTGAGAAGATCGGGGAGGGGGGACGGGGAGGGGGGGGCTGCCCCAAAGAGGTTTTTGGCCTTCGGATTGGATGATTATGATTATTATTATTTTTAAAAAAATTTTCCAAAGTTGAATAAAAGTTTTTTTTCCCCTGGATGTGTGTGAACTGCCTCTGGGTTGCTGGGACGGGTAGGCTTGGCATGCTCGACCCGCGGGTCCTGACCCGGGTGGGAGCGGGGCGGGGGTCTGCCGCCTGTGCTCTGCCCCGTTGGGGGACGGGAGACGGGAGGCGCCTCGGGGCTTTTAGGCGGATCTGGGCCCTAAGCGGACTGTTCCATTTGACACGGCCAGCGCGGGGTGGGTAGCGGTGATGTCTGCTGCCGCCTGCGCTCTGCCCCGTTGGGAATGAGAGACGCCTCGGGCTTTTATGCAGAGTTGGATCCTAAGAGGACTGTTCCATGTGACACCGCCAGGGCGGGGGGGGGGTTGTCCTGCCGCCTGCGCTCTGCCCCGTTGGGAATGAGAGACGCCTCGGGCTTTTATGCAGATCTGGACTAAGAGGACTGTTCCATGTGACACCGCCAGCGTGGGGGTGGGGGTCCTGCCGCCTGAACTCTGCCCCGTTGGGGCCGGGAGACGCATCGGGGCTTTTATGCAGGACTGTTCCATGTGACACCGCCAGGGCCGGTGGGGTGTCTGCTGCCTGCGCTCTGCCCCGTTGAGACGCCTGGGGGCTTTTATGCGGATCTGGACCCTAAGATGGCTGTTCCAAGTGCGCGGGGGTGGTGGTGGTGGTGGAGGGAAATCCAGGCTCCCCCCCCAAAAGCGCCCTCTGACGCTCGCCCCCCCCGTCTCGCCCGTCGGAATGGGCCGATCCGCTCTCAAGCAGCCCATGCGCTGCCCCGCCCCCTCCGGCCTCGTCCATCCTCTTCCCGACGCAGGGGAGGTCACGTCGGGCGCTCCTCCTCCTCCCTCAACACTCCCCCCCTCCGCTCCCTGTTGCAAGAGTGGTTGGCGCTGCTCTGGTGACCTGCCAAGGGCAGCCGGCGGCGGCTGTAGCGGCGGCGGGAGCAGCAGCAGCAGCAGCAGCAGCAGCAGCAGCAGCCGCCGCCTCGTCCGCGGGACGGTCGGCGGTTCGCGGGGTCGGGGAGAGGCAGCTCCGGCTTCGGGCCATGGCTTCGCTGCTGTGCTGCGGGCCGAAGATGGCCGCCTGCGGGATCGTGCTCAGCGTCTGGGGGGTCATCATGCTGGTAAGGGAGCCCTGCCCGCCTTGCTTGCCTGCCGGCCCGGGCGGGGGGGCGCCGTCGGGGCGCCCGGTTGCCCCGGCCGATCCCCCCCCCCGGCCGTCCGGTTGCCCCGGCCGACCCCCCCCCTGCAAGGACGATCGGTAACCGGGCGGCGTTCCGGGGGGACCGGGAGGAAGAAGAAGAAGGGGGAGGGGAAGCTCCTGCCCGGCTCCCCGCCGACCCTCCCCGCCTTCCCCCCCCCCCCCCCCGTTTTTTGGCAGGTGCTGCTGGGTCTCTTCTTCAACGTCCACTCCGCC